CTAGAATGACCACCTCATCTTGTATTTATCAGTTTGACTGCTCCTGTGGAGCAAGTTATATTGGTCAAAGTTCTAGGAATTTACATTTTCGTGCTCGCGAACACCTCCCAGAGTGGATGAACAAAGATTTGTTGAAGGAAGTAAACAGCTCAATATTGGCTCATTTAGTACAAACTGGTCATAGTGCCAGTATAAACCAATCCTCTCCAATTATTTATAGGGTCAGTAATGTTTTGCCAGGCTTAGAGTCCTTCAAACGGCGAAGGCAGTAGCCATCAGGATGAAGAAACCGGAGCTATGCGTACAGAAGAAATATCTCCAACCCACACTCTCCCTTGGCCAACCACAAGGCCAATTAATCAATAGTAATTTTAGCTATTGAATGACCTAATTTGACTATTGTACTTACGACCATTCGTAGTCAGATGTAATTGTCTCTCTTATCTTTATTCAAAAGTCTTTGTATTATTATTATTATTATTATTATTATTATTATTATTATTATTATTATTATTATTATTATTGGTTAAACATCATTATTAATTTCCCCTATACTTGATTCATTCACTTCGCATTGATCCCTCCTTACTACGTCTTACTAATTTTTCACACACTTTAGTCTTCCATTTGATCGAATTGTAATTGCACTATCATATCTCTCTCACCCTATTTGACCCATTATTTATTCTGATCACAGTTCTTTTCGGATTATTAATTTGGATATATAATTGTAGAACCTGAAGAGAATTTATCGAAAAGAATATCCTTCGTTCAAATATTAGTCTTTTAATGTGATGGGGATCATTAAACGATTAAAGTCTTTATAAATCAAATATTATGGTTATTTCATTGTATGTTTTTTTCACATAGAAAGCTGTAATCATTGTGGTAAGATAAATTAACGCACTATACTTACAAGCGGGAAGAACTCAAGATCAATTCTTTCAAGACTTTGTATGTGATTTATGCTGAAGAGCATCGTAACAAGAGATGACTTTGAAGTATTGTAGAAATCCCTACTAAAAATATGACTGTAATCAGAACATGTTTTGCGGAGATTTCAGTATTTTCATAGTTGAAGTTAGACAGCTCAATGGTCTATTGGTTAAAAGCTCGAGCGCGAGACCGGTAGGTCTTGGGTTCGAATCTCGTGAGACGAGGTCATGGATGCGCACTGTTGAGGAGTCCCATAATAAAACGAAACGGCCGTCCAGTGCTTCCAGGTTTTCGATCGGGATCTAGTTTCAATTAACTCATGATTTCAACTATGAAAAATATGACTGTTATTTATTTTGGGGATGCAGGGAGTAAATTGCTTTGAACCGATTTAATGAGACTTTGACGATTTAAATAATTTGTCGTAAAAATTTATAAATTTATGATGGCTTACGTGATAAATTCAAGAACGCTAGTATAAAATTGCCCACAATTAATAATCCATATGGTTCAACGTAAATAGCTTTATCCAGAATAGGATTTATCAATTCATTCGTTTCAGGACTTGACTAAAATATAAAATAAAATTATACGTAAATGTACATTATGTTGAAAAACAATAACAGGTATATAAGTGCTGAGCTACACAAGGTATATTATTAGTCCAAGGGGTTCGTACTTTTGCGCTATCGATATAAACAAATAGATTAACCAGTCTCTGATGTTGCATGGGCTATATGAATGAATGTCACGATATTTCCGGCGTTTACAAATCGTTTGTTTCCTATAATGCTGACTAAAAGTAGAATCTAGGATATGGGTTTCATTTTATTTTGAAATGGTTATCTAGATATACCTGGATTCTAGTGTTAATGTTCAAACTGAAACTCAAATCTAGTATTTGGAGCTTCGGACGTAGGTCGTTGAATTCAGTTCTACTAAATCTGAAATATAATCACTTGGATAAAATTTTTTCGTAAGAATGAATGTTTTTAATCCTCAACACTCATTTCATGTATCTTCATATTATCAGTTTTTCGATAATTACTTGATTTCATATATAATCAAGCCGAGTGTATGCCTATGTATATAAGTTTGATTGAAACGAACTGCAATACTAAAATAAGGGTGTATCATCTAGTTGGGTTATATATTTTCTGGGCTGAACGGTTTTACCGCTAAGCTTTCATAGTCATTTCTGGTAACATCAACTTAGACCTCCTAGTGAATAATGAATATTAAAATCCAACAGAACTGGTTCATCTCACTTTATGCAGACCCAAAGTCACAACAGCGAATGAAAATAAATACAAGATTATCTACGCAATAAATCGCACCTACTGTAAGAAGAACTATGTTATATGCCGGAGATGCCCCTTCCCTTAACTATCTACAAACGTAGAATACAAATTAAAAGGACACGATAGTACATCACTTATATCAGCACAAACCAACAAGTGCGGATACACATACGATTAGTAAATGAAAACATTGTTACTAAAAGAAGTACTAAAATCCTAGTGTTTAAAGAAGCAATATATTCAGGTCGACTCAATAATAAAAGATACATCGAAACAGAATCAACTTTTTTGCTTATGCAAACAGGTTAAATCAATAGAGTCTAAAATCAGCCTGCAGCATAATTAAATAAGAAGGTAGAAACAGGTGAAAATGACAACTAGTCATACATTAACTTATCAGAAACAACTTTTATAGCACTCACCAGATAAATTCACTTATTATTGTTTGTTTGAATCTTTCCATTGATGTTTAGGACTGCAACTGGTCAGTCTCTAATTGGCATATGTGCATACTGTGCGTATTGCCTTGATATAGCCTTAATTCACAAGCATTATAAGCAAAGATGGACAGTGGCTAACAGTGGAATCCAGGACGCGCGTTTCGTCCAACTGACGAGTCCCAATTAGGACGAAACGCGCTTCAAACTGGATTTGAGTATTGCAAGAAGGTAACAAATATTTTGTTACAGTTTAAAAGATAAATCCACTTTTATGTTCGTCTGCAATATTTAATTTTGGATCGATTAGAAATCTTTCGTAAGTTATAAATTGTTACAAAGAAATCATCTGAATTCAGTTACTACTAACATATGCTGTCTTTGTTTACTAGTAAAGCTTATATAATGTTAAATCTTGTATTCTAGTGTTATTTATTAATCCTGTCTAGTGGTTAAGCGCTCGCGCGCGAGACTGATGAGTCCTGGGTTCGAATCTCGTGAGGCAGGATTGTGGATATGCACTGCTAAGGAGTCCCACAATAGAACGAAACGGCTTTCCAGTGCTTCCAGGTTTTCCATGGTGGTCTAGTTTCAATTGGCTCATGATTTCAACTTTAAAATTACTAAAATCTCCACAAAACCCCTTCTGATAATCCTGTACACTTAATCATGACTGTTTATTCCTTCCCTCTAGTCTAAGTATTATCTTATCGATACATATCGACAAGATTTACGTCATTAAAAATAGTCTGAAAATTTTATGATTCTCATCTAATAATTGTTACAGATAAATTAATTTTATAAATGGATTAGTATAAGAGTAACAAATGAAAAACAATATCGTAAAAGAAAGTAAGGTGACAAAACATTGATTCATATCTCTTTTGTATTTAGTTGATTTCCGTATTATTTAAACGATAAGTCTGACAGTCATTGAGGGTTTTCTACAGTTATGTCATGATAATAAGAATGTATATGTAAGAAAAAGAAAGAAAGGAAAAGATGAATACAGTATTGTAGTGCATAAATAATTATTAGAAAGTAAACTACAAATGTATAATTACACATTTAATAGTACAGTTATAATAACACAGTTTATATTCATAGTTGAAATCATGAGTCAATTGAAGCTAGGCCACCAGGGAAAACCTGGAAGCACTAGACCGACGTTTCATTCCATTGTGGGATTACTAAGCAGTGTGCATCCATGACCCCACCTCGGGAGAATCGAACCCAGGACCTACCAGTCTCGCGCCAGAGCAGTTAACCGATAGACCACTAAGCCGGTTTTCCATAGTGGTCTAGTTTTAATTGACTCATAATTTCAACTATAACAATACTGAAATCTCCACAAAACCCTTTATGATAGCTTATATATTTTCCAAAGATAATTATTAATTGATTGGCAATATCTCTTAGACTGTATTCAACAATAGTATTGGAAAATTATTAAAGTTTATTTTGAAAATCAGAATGTATCATAAAATTATAAAATAAACTTTTTCATTTACTAACATTCGTTGAGAAATCATTAAAAACAAGTGAGCAGTGAATCAGTGTTTTGTTTAGAGTTTGATTAATCAACTGTCATAGAGATTAAGTAATTACTGCCGATAAGATTTGAATAATAACTTCCCAGTATATTTACTTAATGGTATAAATATATCAAGCTTAGCATGATAATTAAGTGTACTCAGTTCGACTCCATGTAATGATCAATCCATAAACTCTTAGATTAAGTCAAAACTGATTTCACAAATACTTTAATATTCAATGGCTTGTTTAGCTGACATCTGTTCACGATAAAAACTATCTTCAGAAATGAAGAAAAAAGTGAAACAAAATTATCAAATCAATACAGCTTTAACAAAAATGTACAATAGTGAATTAAATAATAAAAGATGTGAATAGTTTTATGTTGCATAAATGTCTCATTAAATTTTATATAGTTGAGATCATGAGTCAATTGAAGCTAGATCACCATGGAAAACCTTAAAGCACTAGATGGCTGTTTCGTCCTATTGTGGGACTCCTCAGCAGTAACCGGCGGAGTTCAACCGGGTCTGTTGGGGGATATAATTTTATTCTTCCATTGGTTTGAGATTCAGATGTTTGACACGTTCTTAATTATTCACTCGTGGACTTACGTTTTTTCTACTAAGTCGCTCTCTTATCAGTCTGAGGTATCTGAAACTGTATATGCGTTGATAGACCAGAGTTTAGGATAAATATTATTCAACACAACACTTTTGAATAGTATTCTATTACAGTTATACTGATAACTTTTTTATTTCGTAATCATGCATACATATGATTATAACATTTTGTCCTTCATTATACACAAGATCAATAGCCTCAGTCTTCTTTAAATTTAAGAAATCACTACTATGTATTGTTTTATTAGAGCACAAATACAAACTGAAGCAATTTATATGCTTTGATAACTTATGAAATCTTGATGTATTTAAAGTATTAACCTCTATATAGGTCAAGCTATTCAAAAAGTGACCTTAATTCTGTGAAACCACTTGTTTACATTGAAGAATCTAAGCCTAAAGTGCTTTACTAGACGAAACTCAAAGCAAATAATTAACCCATATAGTTAAGACAACAAATAATTGAAAGGCGTGTCAGCAATGCTAAGTTATACCTACATATAGAGACTATTTAAAATGGAGACTATAAACAACAGATTATGTCGAAAAACCTACTAGTAGACTGAAAGATCTAAACAGAAAAACACAAAGCATCAAATTTGTTTAGATTTATATTTTTTCATAGTTAATGTTTAAGACCGAAATTGATCAGATTTTATTAGCAATCTTGAATAATTATCATAGTAGATAGTGTATCGGCGTTTGATATGACGGATATTAAGTTCAAACATCATTGTAAACATCAGCAATGGAATCTGTTTACATCCAATTAATGAGTATTAAATAGGATGAAACATAGGTCCTGAATTTCACTCCTAGCTATTATTCAATTTTGACGTGAGTATCACAATTCCATTGATCTTTATCTACTTACCTCGAGTCTTTCTGTATCTGATGTTTGTTTAGCACTTCGTGTATTTCTTCCTGTTTTACTCTTTCCACTAGATCTACTTTGTTCTTGGTTAGCTAGATAGGAGAGATAACGACGAGTAATAAAGTAAATAACGATAATAGTATTAATACTGTTAGTAGTTATATTTATTCTAAACAAATGTAAATTTGAATAAAAACATTCAATAAAATGAAATACACGCTTACTCATTTAAAACAAAATGGTGCTTGTTAGACATGGGAACAGTGAAAAATACACTTGGAAGTTACCGAAATAAAGCAGTAAAAAAAAATAAGCTTACTATGTACAACTGTCTATTTTGATGTAGGTTTGTTCTCTGAGCTGGATGGTTTGGTCGTGGAGCTTCTACCCGAAGTTTGTGCTAATGATGTCGTTCAGAAGGACAATGAAAGCTCCACCACCAAACCATCCAGCTCAAAGAACAAACATCACCCACCTGACCTACAAATCTTCTCCACCATCTCACAACTTTCTATATGGTATCCTAGTCCTCAAAACCAAGGTTTCATTTTAAAAGACATTAGCTTACAAAATGTGTCTCCAATTATGAAAAATGGCATTCCTCATGAGATTTGAGACTGTATTATGCAGTTTTATATTTACAGATATTATTATTTATCTATCTAGACTACGATTAACTCTCTATAAAAGTAAGATATTTACACAATAATTAATTTTGTATGGTCTTTAGATCTGATTGAATTGGGTCAATCTGATCACAGTGGGGTACTGGAATAAAGAATTCGATATCGTAGTGGATTATAGGTAAAACCAACTAGAAGAAAATCTTGAACCACGATTTCGTGCTAATTACATTTGTATCTATTACAACACAGAACAATTGAATAACAATTCTTCATGCCTAGTTATTTGACTTCAGACTGAACGTTCATCATTGAAAGTTGATTGACATGTGAAACAATGATTAGGATGTACGGGGTATTCATTACGATGCCTAAATCATCTATCAGTTAAATGACTCTTTAATCACTCATGCGTAGAATTAACTTAGTTTCATTAAAAACCTTGAAATTAAGGTTGAAACTAAAGATTTCGGAATTCATACAATAATATAATCATAATTTCAATATATGATAAGCGTTATACAACTACATAGATATATTTTTCTACTTTTAAATCTAGTAATCACTTCTGTAAATTTATTTAGCCTACGGGTTGATTACGTAATGCAATTTTGGACTTATTCTGTTCCTATGTAAATTAGATTCATAAGATCTAAGTAATCTATTTACAATTGATTGGTTTCTGGGTAATGACCAATCTCATGTGTATAAAATGGAATTCTATCGACCAAAATGAAATGTAGCCACTAATCTAGATGACTCGACATTTGTGCACTATGTTGAGATGTAAGGTGGTGGTTGGAGGTAGTCAACATTGCACTTTAGTTGATAGATTTCGGTCTGGATTTAAAAGGACCTGGCACACTTGACATTGGTCACTACTCAGTGATAAACCAATTGTAAGTACATTTCAGTCGTACAGAAGGTCAGTTACGAGCCTTATAGAACAGTGGTAACGTCTCTGATTGTAAAGTTGGGTGACACGGGATCAAATCTTTCAGGTAACACCAGTTACTTTAAGATTACACCATGCTGACGAGTATCAAATAACGTGAAACCCAGTTCCAGGGTTTCCTATCAACTACATTCAATCAATGGAATTAGTTTCAAATTTAGTTGTTTGGTTTCCGAGAATGATATTTTCTAAAAATTATGACAATTCATTTCATATTTGTAGAATTTTAAAAAAAAATTATAGACACCCTCTACAAGAACAATAATTTATAGATACAAAATACTAAGAACGCTGTCTGTATATATGTATATTTATATGTATGTATGTATGTAGTTAGGTAGGTATGTAAGTAAGTAAGTAGGTAGGTAGGTAGATAAGTAAGTAGGCAAGTAGGTATATGTAAATTTTCAGTAGACAACAGTACAACCACTTTTGACGTTTATTAATGCTTATCAAATAACAAATTATAATGAGACGTTGATAATGTCGAGATATTAATCATATCCAACATATTTAGATGAAAGAGTCTAACGAAAAAGAATTTTTCAGATATCTGATGACAAAACAAGAATTAGAAGGAAAGTCGTGTCTATTTCTGCCTATGATCAGCAAATAGAATAATGATAATAATAAGTAGTCAAGTACAATAATATTTTCGGAATAAATGATTTACAACATGAATATACATATAAATTTAATAATGTCATCTCATGCAAATATAATGACAATACAGGGAATCAATAAGTGTATTCCATTAAGTGTGGTCACCACATGCAAGTGATTGAAAATTCTGGGGTTGTTTTTTCCTCACTTATTACAACTAATGACATAATATCACTTTCCTCTTGGATGTCATCGTCTGTTTCATTTTCTTCTATATTCATTTCATCTAAATTAAATTTTAATTTTATTATTACAAATAAAGTGGATATGTTCAATTCTATATGTTATTTGGATAAAGGGTAAAGAGGTAGATGGTAAAGCAAAGAAAACGAATCTAAAGTACATGCTTTTTATGATTTGAACTTTTGATGAAAAGTGAATTTTCATAATTGAAAGCATAAATCAATTGAAGCTAGACCACCAAGGAAAACCTGGAAGCACTGGACGGCTGTTTCGTTCTATTGTGAGACTCCTCAGCAGTGTGAGGCGGGATCGTGAATTAGCATTGCTGAGGAGTCTCACAATAGGACGAAACGGCCGTCCAGTGCTTCCAGGTTTTTCTTGATGGTCTAGCTTCAATTGACTCATGATTTCAATTATATAAAATTACTAAAATCTCCACAAAATCCCCTTCTAAAAATATAAATATATACGAATTGTTACCAAATATTCCTTAGATGTAACTTCACTGAGCTTTTGTCAGTTCTACTTGATCTGAACTTTGTCAGACTAACCACCAAATATGTTATTCTTATTCTTACTAAGGAAAATTAGGCAAATGGAGTAAATGATTGGACTTAGTGGATTTACTTATAATTATGATTAAAATGTAATTATGTCTTCGATTGTGTTGGCCAGTTGTATTACACAAAGCCGAAATTCGATCAACCGATATTATGAAACTAGTTTAGCAATTTCCCAACTTTGTTCAATGACAGAGTTTGATAATCAAATATATAGTAAAGGCGAGACTATAATTTATGAACGACCTTTGAGCGAATCTCGAGTGACCTTGAGAAATATTAGCCAATCAGGTAACAGTTAGTATAGAGAAAAAATATATTATACAACACCGAAGAATTAGAGTGGATACACTTCTTTTACATGGTCCGAAAACTTGTCAAGGTTAGAAAAAGGTTCAAAGGTTCTTAAACCGTAATGCATAAGGTAGAGGAACTCATCCATATGGCTCCATAATACTCGGTTTCTGCAGCCATGATAAGGTCACAAAAACTCTCAGCCTCACCCACATAGCTTCAATATTGTTTGTATGTACTCCGGTTGTGTAAGTTCGTCATTTTTATTACGTATATATCTCTAAAATACTCATACCTCTGAACAGCTGAAGCTTCAGTATCATCTGCTAATATTGCAGTTAATAATAATGGTGCTTTTATTATACAGTTCACAGCAATTAATGTGGATCGAGAGAAAAAAGTTCCTATTCTAGCAGACTTCTTCCTCTAACATATATTACATCGAAAAATAACATCATCAGGGTAGTCTGCACAAGGTCTACAAGTCAAATGATTACCTCAAATACAAATAAAGGTACTTCTTAGTAGTCTCATTTATTGTAGCCGCTTAATTGTCTCTATGAACCGATTGTACATAAGCATCAAGTACTGAAATTGGCGCTGTGAACTTGAAATTCTTCAAACGCCTCTGATTAGCTCGTTCATAAATTATAGTCTCACCATAGTAAACAGTCCGTTTTTAAAAATCTAAATTGATATAATACTGCCATTCTAATTGATAATATGTCTACATAATAAATTACTCTAACTACCGTTTCAGTTGGATTATATTCAAATTATATATATATATATATATATATATATATATATCTGTATGTCAGTATTGATTGTATTTGTCGAGATGAATTAGTTTATTTCATGCCTTTTCTTTAATGACTTTTATATATAAGACCTAGTGTTTTCTAGACTGTCCCAGTTCCCTTTGTATATATGTATATCGTTTAAAGATCCCCATCATATATATATATATATATATATATATATATATATATATATATATATATTGACGATATAAAATGTTTGATAAGGACAGAGGTGAAAGATGAAGGAAAAAAATGCTAGACATAAATTTATTGCAAATAGTACAGTTGGTAGGGCAACACAATTATACGACCTTTTTTATAATTTATAGAAAAATGGATATTAGAATTAAAGAATTTAGCAGTAATAAAAATAAAACAAGTTTCTCTATTCATAAAACTTGGTAGTTATAAATTTTTAATGAACATTTATATCTATATATGTAGTTTCCGAAAGAATATTTGGTAGAAAGATATATTATTTTAAAAGTATCAAAGTGTTAGTGTGGTGTGGTCTACTTATATCCATATAAGTAGTATATGGTAATGATCAAATATAGAATGTATTTTGGCAGAAGATCGATATGGCACGAACAGGAATGAAGCACGATCGGTATGAAAATGTATAAACAATGAAATCAGAGACAACGGACTGATATTTGTAGGAGGAACAGTTAAGATTGAGATAAATGATTGTTATTTTGCAAATTAACTGTTTACTCTATGGTTATCAGAATTTTTATGAGATAGTCTGTAATTAGTCGAATTATAAATTTAGTAATATTTCTTGACAAAGAAATAGTCCCAATATATCCATTTGTATTTGTTAGTTTATGAAGACATGAACTATTCGCTTCAGTTGTGTTTTACAGTGAAAACTTTGTGATTAAGGTCTCCTCTCTAATGACTTGAGACTTTCTTATATATCTCGTGTACGCTAATTGATTATAACTTGTGGCCTGCCTGGATGCCCTCTTAATGCATAACGTGATAATACCCCGCCAATTAGAATACAGTGATTTTATTGATCGGACCAATGACACATGAAACCTGTGCAAGCAGTCTAGGGCACTTATCGGTCCTGCTATCTGCCTAGCCCAGTTAATTAAGTCCAGAACACCAATAACAGCCTCTGCAATATGAATCATTATTCACAAACATACTGGGTTTATATACCAAACAGACAGACCACATCGTACCATAAAACAGAAAGTAACATTTGTACAAGATTTGATCAAATGTGGTTGTGAATGTGGAAAACAGTAATTAATAGACTAGGCATAACTCAGGAATGGTAAATCGTACAGTAATAGTCTATAGGTCAAAATAAAGCTTATAATAAGAGGGACATGAATATGAATAGTTTAGTTACTTAACAATTATGCAATAAGGAATATACATATCACATTGGTCCATAAATAGTCCTCAAAGTTACTATTCATAATTCTCTTCGCGATATAACACTTTTATTGACAATTGTCAAGAAATAAATTAGTTTTATCGTTTGTATGCTAATAAATACACTTAGTAATATGTCCTACTACTTTTCCCTCGTTTTATTCATTTATTTCAAATTGAGCACTCTATTAATAACGTTATTTATAACCACTGATATCGCTAATAATACAAATTCCTTAATTTTCGTCCACTTAATTTTCTTTTGCTGCACAGATACAATATATGGTGACTTGGAACAATCTAATATCTGTTCCGACCGTAGCTGCTACCTTGACATGGTAGTCGGACTTGTCTATCGCCCTTCGAAGAACGGAGCTAACACGTCAAAAAAAACCCACAAAATGACCGGCCGCTAGCAGTTGTCCCTTGGACTCTGCGGTCACGCTACCAGGTCGTTAAGACCAACATAAATCCAACTTCCTTTTCAGGTTCCTCAAGAAATACCCTTCCACTGTGTGGGAAGCCGGGAAGTGATATTAGCCCTCATACCCCTAACAGCACACGAGACCAAGTTGGTCACATTCAAATCCTTCCCACTTCGTACGTAACTACAAAGTTCTACGTTGTGACTCACTGACTGACTAACTTTCACTGATTGGCAAACCATATGTTAATCTTTTAATGTAAATGTATATGAAGATTGAATGAAAATGACTTTACCTTAAAACTACATAAACATCAGTATTACCTTTTTCATTAGCGACATTTGGTTGTATATAATTTAAGCATGTAATGAATTATGATGCTAAGCGATATAGGTTGACGATAATCATTTTGAATAACTTCAATGAATGATATAAAATGATAACAGGCGGTTACTAGACTTTTCAGTGTTGTTCGTGTTCTCTGACATAGATATTTCAACATCAACTAAACCAACTAGATTGGAGAGCACAAAGAACACCAAAAAGCATCTAGCATAGCTGTAAATCTTTTCCCCCATCTTTGAAAATGACTAGGGCTTGGTTATCCGATAGATTTAATGTAAGATTAAAAAAATAGGGAAAAAGTATTACTGAATTACCTTTTTTAGGTGAATTACTACTATCACTTTTCTTTCCTTTACCTCCACTTTTATCGTCCTTGCTACTATCAGTATCCTTAAATAAAATTTTAAAAAAACTTACAATAAATAAATATGTATAACCGATTAAAATCTTGCAAAAATTATTTTGTTACATTTTAAGCTTATGAGTGAGACTATAATTTATGGACGACCTTTGAGAGACTCTAGAGTGATTTTGAGGGTGTTCACTTAATAAGCAGGACCAAATGAGGGTTATAAAGCAGTGTGAGGAATTAGAATTATGATTTACAATTGATGGTTAAGGTTAAAAAATTAGATTTCGGGTTTTCATCACGAACTGACATCAGCTATAATGCCAAAATTCTATTTCGCCAAATGAATGAGTAGATTTCGTGCCAAAATCCGAGACCTGTTATCTTAAATCTGATTGGTTCGTCCATAAATTATAGTCTCACCGAAGAATAAAGAATTGAGTCTCTCTCTCTATATATATGTACAGACATCTTAACACTGAATTTTATATATTCAGTGCTATAATGGGAACTATAAATCTATCTAAAACACCATGTCATAATTTCGATATTTTGCAGTGGTTCATTTGGTTTAAGAGTTGTCTAAAATTCACAAAACTAGTTACTTTGAATGCTAGAATTATAACTTCAATTCATATTATGTTCATCCCATAGTTTTTATGACATTTTCTTTACAGAAATTAGTGGTCAGAAGTATCCATAGTTTGAAGTGTAACTATTACATCTTTCTTCAGAACGGTATTGACAATAGGTGTCATTTGAGGGCTTTGACTCAGTCAGTCAGTCACAACATAGAACTTCATACGTACGTACATCAGTTCGAGTTGCCATACCACATTAGCCCAGAGATGTAGTTGTCGATTGTTATCAATAAAAATGATATATTTGTAATATGTCGGTGAGTTAAAAAATTAGGTTTTTAAATTTTCCAACATTTCGTGACTCAGTGTGAACCACTTCTTCACAGAATAAATAAACAAATTAAATTAACCCAAGTTTAAATAGTACAAAGGAAAAAAACGTAGGTCTGTTGAATTTGTTTATTCATCCTCTGAAGAAATGGCTTACACTAAGTCATAGAACGTCAGAAAATTTAAAAACCTAATTTTTCTCTTCATGAAGATTGACAATAGATCTCTATGGTGGTATGCAACATTTTATGATGGTTAATTACAGAAAAACAGATAGACATAAAATAATAAAATAACGAATACAGATATGCATCAGTTCAAGTTACGTAATTTGGGCAAATATATTTCTTTCCTCATCAAATCTTAAGCAGAAATGTTTAACTGTAATTGTAAAATATAATTGGAAAACTATCTAATATATGAATATATTTTCATAGTTGAAAGTGTGAGTCAATTGAAGCTAGACCACCAAGGGAAAACCTGGAAGCTCTGGACGGCCGTTTCATCCTATTATGGGACTCCTCAGCAGTGCGCATCCATGATCTCGCACTCGCGAGATCCAGTTCCCTTCTGATAATAATATGTATATATCTCATTTATATTGTTTTTTCCAAATAATGCTAAATGATGAAGAAAAGTAACAAGGTCGAAAAAAATCGTAGATGCACTCTGCTGAAGAGTCCCATACTAGAACGAAACGGCCGTCCAGTGCCTCCAGGTTTTCAATAGTGGTCTAACATCGATTGATCCATGATCTCAATCGAAATCAATAAACATTGGTATTAATAAATGGAATAGTCAAATCTTTTTTTAAAATTTAAAGGAAATGCATATTGGATGTAAACGATTTAAAGTAACGTTTGATTAATTTTAAATGATCGAAATTATTAAACAAATTTTTTGATTAGATCTTTTGATTACTTCCTTTGTAATCTCAAGTGTATATATCCGTTTGAATTCATTTACATAATCAATTCGCTTGCCTATGTTTACTTTAAAATAGGTTGAAATCAATGGAAATGATAACTCTGTCTTACTTAAAACAATTTTCTATAAACAAAATGCTGTACTTACTCATCTAGCAGACTATATAAAGACTATATCTAAAAATGACAGACTACAGAGTTTCAGTATGAAAGAACGACTCTAAACGGTGCAACTATTAAACATCTCTAGGATACTGGACATCATCTTTCAAAATGATTAATAAACAGCCATAACTACAGTCTTCTGAAGTTTGATGAAGCCATTGCTATCAGGAGTCAAGATCCGCATTTATGTGCTCTAAAAGAGATGGTTACTAATTTTTCCTTGCCTTAGTGACGTATATTCTTTCGTTGTATTTTAAAACATTATTTTTCAACTCTTTCTTGCATATATTTCATCATTGAGTTTTTATTTCAACTACCTTCCAGACTAGTAATCTTATTTTATTATCTGAGCTTTACTCATTTTATTCCTATCAGTGTTTACCCTTTACGCAATTACTTGTTTCTTGACGTTTGGACTGTTGTAGCAATCAATGTTGTATAATTTTCTTTTACATAAGATATAGATTTACACAAATCAGTCTATTAAATTTATCTACACCCTTGCTATTCTATACTAATGTGTCTTCAACATAACTTCCGACTAAACTCTTTCATGTTAGTAATTTAAACCCATATCGTAATTACCTTTTAAATATCTTAGGTTGTAAACAGATGATAAGAACCGACGAAATAAAAGGAATTTATGATATTCTGCTAGAATCCTTGTTCTTGCTCTTTTCAAAATGATAAAGGGAACTATGTGTATGAAGTTGTGGAAATTGTTGAATTTAATTAAGACCACGAACCTATCTAAGTTTGACCACCAATAAAAACCTAGAAGCATTGCACTGCCGTTCAGTCTTAGTAGAGGGATCCTCAGTAGTGCGCGTCCACAATCCTGCGAGCAGGAATTTAACACAAGATCTTCGGTCTTTCATGTCTACGTCTGACCTCTAGACCACTGAACCAGCATCTAATGATGCTAATGTCTAACTCCAATCAATCTACAGCATCACAAAACTATCTTCAACTTTATTCCGGGAGCAACTGTCTAACACTTAGACACGACGTAGGTCAACTGGTCAAGGAGTTTCAACTAACTAAATTGTTCTTCAGTGAGTTAAGAATCATACATAGTTGTAATACTTGAATGTCTGCACTAAAGGTGTACATAATTATAGCTATTATAGTTATTCGTTATAGTTTAAAATATCGATTTATAAAAATGATTCTGATATAACTGTTAGTCAACAGAATAGTATACACCGGTATTATAGTCTAGCTCTGAGCTATAACACTTTGAATTATTTCACAGCTTTCACTTATCAAGGAATTTCAAGACAACCTTTAAGTTTCACTATTCCGATCATGACTGCGTTAATCGTTCTAACAGAATATCCACCTAATAATCTATACATTTTAATGTTTGTGTTACATTAACATTCACTTAAGTTTTAGTTTTAATGAATGATTTGGTTAAACTAAATGATCTTCAATCACAATTGATTGATCACTGGGTGGTGATCAATGTCATGCGTTGACCACCTCCAACCACCATCTTACCTTAATAAATGATCTTCAATATTTCACACGATCTATCAGTTCAAGATGTTTTGATATGAAATTAAGTTACTGTTTTAACGACATGAATAATCTTGTTACGATGTGAATCATTATGAATCTTTACAAAAACAATATAACAAGTCATTTTCTCACACATAATTAGATAGTTCAACACATGGATCTTACCAATTGAATTCACGAAAAAAAACAACCTTAAATTACTCGTCACTTGATAGACAACATGAAAATTCAAATGAAAATATAGCGAAGATGAATTTGAAAGGAATGCTATTCCAAAACAGTGTCAATTATGGTATAAGACTGTTAGGTACTTATAGTTTTTAGTAGAAATAAAACCATCATTATAGTTATCCATTACGCACACAGGGGGTTATTAGCATTTATCCAATAGGGAAGCTACACTTAAGGATTCTGAAATATTGTTCCAAAAAATGATTAGACGGAATATCTTCGGCTCTTTCTGAGCTTCTTAGAGTTTCTTTGAGTTCATCCGTAGACCATCCTCACAATAACAATAATATTAATATCAAAATAAGTCTTCATCTCCTCGTCAATTAAATCATTTTTTTATCAATATGTCGTTGTAAAGATTATAGTGTTACTACTTATGATTAACTTTTCTTTATTCATTCCCTAATATCTTATCATAAAAAGATGTTTCATAATAAATATTATTTAAGTTCATTTCTTAATTGAAAGTTAATTTAATTCTAAAGTAATTTTAACAGTTGAGATCATAAACCAATAGAGGCTTGACCACCATGGAAAACCTGGAAGCACTGGACGGTCGTTTCGTCCCATTGCGGGACTCCTCAGCAGTGCGCATCCATGATCCCGCCTCACGAGATTCCAACCCAGGACCTATCAATTTCGCGCACGAACGCTTAACATCTAGACCACTGAGTCGGCATCCATCCAGGTTTTCCATGGTGGTATAAATGTATAAAAAGGCTGATGAAGAACTAATTAAGTACAATATTGTGCGCTTATCTAATTTGTTTTAATTTATGAGATTATTATTGATGAATGTGATTTCACGATTTCATGAGAACGCTTTTGCTCTTTAGTATTAAGATAAGAAAGATCAATAATTCTGGATGTGACAAAATGTTTGAACAAAGTAGGCATTCATAACCGTTGATAAAATATGTAACAAATAAGTAATATAATGTATTCAGATGGATAAATTTTCATTTTTACTACTTGTCAGTATATAAATTACTGAAAAAAAAAAGGTAAATTGTACTTCATTCAAATGTGAATGATTGTAGATTTTTTGGCTATGAATTGAAAGTAGTCAAAAAAGATACAATCAGTTAAGTAAACCATTAGTAGTTTACTGTAATTAACTAAATTTAACCCATGATGCAAATTGTAGAATTCAATTATCTCTGCATACCCATATATAAATGATAATCATTTGCCTACTAGTGACTAAATTTGAGATGTGATTCCCACAGTTCTAGTAAGAACCTCTAACCAGTGGAATTCAACCATTTCAAGCGAGAGACAGGTGTCATGATCTAACAGTATTGCATAACAATTGAAGTTTGATATGCAAACATTTGGATCTCATTTCAGTAGTCTAAAAACTGCATGGAATCTGAAGGTCCTAAGTTTAATTCTCGATGAGGTTGTCGATATGAACTGCTGAGGAGTATCATACTTGTATAAAACGGCTTCCTAGAGCTTCATAGTTCCAAATGGTAGCTTGGATAAGGTCATTTTATGATTTAAGTTGTGGAAAGCAAGATAATTATAAGTTCACTTTCAACGAGGTTTAATCTCAACTTACCGTCCTGTAAATGGAAGAAAATAAATCTAATTTTCTATAACTTTCACATTAAGAAATCTCAAGATAAACGCTTGCTGAAATGTTGTTAGAATAATCACATGCTTAAAATTCAATCTAAAATACCAGTCACCTGGAACTCAAAGAGATATTGAGACCAGTTATCAGAACACACTGATTTAATATATAAGTAATATTTAATAAGCTCATTTAAAATTGAAGTAGGAGCTAATAATACAGTCCATTACTACAATTGAAAGCTTTTTAATCAAATCATTTAGTTCACAGTATGCAACACTGTAAAAATAATAGTGGGTATTTTATAAACCATGCCAGCCTAAATATTAAATTCTGCCTTATTCAGGATAAATTCTCCTATATTCTTCATGGTAGCATTAAAAGAATATTGAAATAAATGTATTATGGTCAGATGATTGTACTTTACAAAGCTTAATTTTTCCATTTTTTTAATAATAGCAAATATTTCCGGTCAACAGAATATAAATTAAAATCATTAAGGGAATGAAGTTCAGTTTAAGGTAATCGATTTCAATGTTACTGACTAGAATGAATAAATCAAAAATAGTGACTTCTCAAAAGAACACCAAAATATCCGGTGTATAAGTTTGTTTAATCTAAAATATGTCGTATACAGAATTCCACAATTTTCGATGTCTGTTTCTAATATAACGTCAAAATAGAAATATTTTCTGTTTATCCACGCTATACTACTATGGTAAAATAATAAGATTGGCGTCCGAGGTTTTACTACCACAAGACAGGATATTTGATCCGTATGCTACATCTATACTGCATCATCGTATACCATAAACAAGATTCATGACCAAACATTAGAAAACTGGAGTACAGACTAGGAAATATTGTATTCAAAGCCATTACAAGCAGTCCTTTCTCCGTGAATCTAAAGTAGAAATTGATAATGTAAAGGGAATCATCTATCAAGTAGTTCACGCTCAATGACCAATAACGTATTGCTTTAACTACCCTACATCAAGTTTCTCAACCGATTATGTAGTCGATATCATATACGATATATATATAAATCATGAGTCAGTTGAAGTTAGGCCACTATGGAAAACCTAGATGCACTGGACGGCCGTTTCGTCCTATTATCGAACTCCTCAGCAGTGTGCATCCACGATCCCACCTCGCGAGATGTTACATTTGCTTGTTTCAACTATTAACTATAATTCCATTAATGTTTTGAAGTATTTTCGAAGCGTTAAAAAAAAGAACAAAACACAATTGAAACTTTCCTAATATTTTTCTATTCGTTTATTACTGATTAAGTAATAAGGAAGTATGTAAGAGTTTACTTCTAAGAGGGTGAAAAAAAGTTTTAGTGGAAAGAAATAGTGTAGTGAATCATAGTTCGTTATTTGTTGTTAAATGGTTAGGTTGTACCTTTTTTTAAATTTGGAGTTCGATTGCGAAACTTAGTAACCGAACTTCAAGAATGTGGCTAGATTCAATAAGACTTTACAAATATTGAATTATTATCAGAAAGAAGGTTTTGTGAAAACTGCAGTAATTTAATAGTTGCATCCATCAGTCGGTTAAAGTTAGACCACCATGGAAAACCTGGAATTCAACTATTAAATATTGAATTATATATCGACTCAAAAAGTAAGGTCTTAAAACTTAATTTAGTTAAATCATAAAATAATTAACATCTAATAGGAAAATAACTTTGATTTACCTTAGCATTACGACCACGAACAGATTTGTCGCGTTTCTTTGCACCACTTACACCTTGTGTAGACTCTTTCGATGCGTCACGTGCACTTGGGGATACTTTAGATTTACGATGTCCTAGTGGACTCTGAAGAACAACCAAAAGAATCAAGAAATAACGGAAGAAAATCATTAATGACAATTAGAAACAATAATTAGTTTTTTTATACAAATAATTCATCTTCTGTTTAACTAAGCTTCTATATCACCGCAAATAAAACTGATAAAATGTAAATTTTTAAAAACTGATCTTTTGTTTCCTCTGTCTCTTATGTTGATTTTTTAATCCTTTATTATTAGAAGAAATAACTTCCTAAACAAAAATTTTTTTAATAAAGTTGAAATCATGAGTCAATTGAAGCTAGACCACCATAGAAAACCTGGAAGCACTGGACAGCCAACTCATCCTATTGTGAGACTCCTCAGCAGTGCTTCCAAGTTTACCATGATGGTCTAGCTTCAATTGATTTATGATTTCAACTTTATAAAATTACTTAAATCTCCACAAAACCCCCTTCAGAAATTTTTTTTATTAAAACTTAATAACATCTCCGTATATTAATATCAAATTCTCTAGATTGAAAGTAATTTAATATAACATATAATCGAAACAGGCCATAAGCTTGATCTTAACTCGGGTTTTGTAGTGTTGATTAAGGGCGTATACTGAGGTTTATTGAAGCCTTAACCATACGAAAATAAAACCCCTTTGTGTATTCAAAAACACTTTGTCCTCACCTTAAATCTACCCCGGGTACTATTAGCTTATTATCCAGAGTGATTAGGTGTCAGATTGTTTTCACATTATTTTTATTATTATTATTATCAGAAGTGGTTTTGTGAAGATTTCAGTATTTTCATAGTTGAAAGCATGAGTCAATTGAAGCTAGACAATTGGTGAACGGTTGCTCAACTTCGTGGATTGGTTGTAGTTAGACATTAACACCGTTAGATGCCGGCCGACTCAGTGTCTAGTGGTTAAGTGCTCTGGCGCAAGACTGGTAGGTCCTCGGTTGGAATCTGGCGAGGCGGGATCGTGGATGTGCACTGCTGAGGAGTCCCACAATAGGACGAAATGGCCGTCCAGTGCTTCCAGGTTTTCCATGGTGGTCTAGCTTCAATTGACTCATGATTTCAACTATTATTATTACTATCCTTGTCTCCTCTTACCCCTCATTTCCAATCTAGTTAACCTATTATGTTATACACATATTCTTAATAAGTATATATGTGATCAGATTGTTCGTAATGTATTGCGCTAATATATCACATAGTTCTGATAATCTTCGTCTTTTTATTACACTATTGTAATACATATCACTTGATCTGATGTAAAATGTCAACTGAAATTGTAGTATACATAACTGTATTAAAAGGAAAGAGTGAAGTGGGAAACAACTAAATGATTTTGTTCATACAATACACAACTATCCTGAGGAAAACAAATTGGTAGATATAGATATATGTATATGCATATCGTTTCATAAATGTGACTTTGTTGTTTATTTACAATTAAAGAAAATTAGAATCAATAGATGATAACCTTGAAAGAGTATGGGAAAAAAAGTGAAGAGGCAAATTACAAAACACTCTCCTCACATGATAAATAAAAAACTTACATTTATATTTTATGTAAAAATTAAAGTTTTTAATTATTTGGTTGAACAAACTGTTGAAACTTGTTAAATGAATAAATTATTTAAATTAAGTTTATATCATTTCAGATAATAAGCAAAGATAGATAGTGGTTAGCAGTGGAATCCAGGACGCGTGTTTCGTCTTATTTGGGACTCGTCAGCTGGATGTGCTTGCATCTCAGAGTTGATGTTCACTCTGAGACTCAAACCCAATACCTTTCACTTCAAACGCCATCGCGTTATCCACTCAGCGTTATCAACTTCTAGCCATTATCCATCTTTGCTTATAATGCTTGTGAATTAAGGCTATATCGAGACAATACGCACAGTATGCATATATGCCAATAAGAGACTGACCAATTGCAGTCCTAAACATTAATGGAAAGATTCAAACAAACAATACCAAATGAACTTTAGATAATAGCTTCCTGGAATAATCTATGAACTTTAAATGATCTAAGTATTTAAATTAACATACCATATACAGCGTAAAGGTAGTTTATTTAGCCACAACAAAACTTTTGATATCAGGTTGGATTGTATAATGAGTCAAACGAATTAACAATTATAACACTTAGCTTTCTACTTATATGTTATAAATTCAAATGACATTTGATCTAAACAGGTTTTTGTGGTCCGAGATCTGACTTTGGTTAGGTCGTTTGCTACTTGTTATCGAAATATACATATCGCCAATCCTCGTATACAATTATCGATTTAATTTTCGTTATTGAATAACGGAATTAAATAAGTCAAATATGAGAATAAATTCCGAATACGTATATTTCATTCAATCGTCGATCCAGACAAGTGATTGGAGAAAGGAAGTGAAGAAAGCGAAGGGAAGGGAGCGAAGTGAATTGAAGTGCAATGAAGAAAGCAAGTGAGCTAACCCGATCTACTCAAACGTGAATCGGTATTTATAGTCAAAGAAAAATAAGTTACAGACATGTGATGAGTAAGATGAGAAATGTACACACATACACATACGTAAAAACAACCATGGTTGATAAGCGGATTTTTAACAAGATCAAAATGTAGCTTGAGATGAATGGATAAATTGGTTTGTCCAGAGTCTAGAATAATCTATGTGGGCTTGACATAATACAAGGCCCTACAAAGTTTTGTTAATTGAGTAGTAGTGTTAAGCGGTCACAACTAATGTTTAGTTCAAAGATCTGGCCAATTTTATCATGGATTATTACTTTGGATTTATAATTGTAGAACGTGATGAGAAATTATTGAAAAGAATAATCTTCGTTCATATAGTTGTGTTTTAAATAAGATTATGACTGAAAGTGAAAGACGTCATGATCATTTAGTATTATGTACGAACGTTTAATTGGGAGTAATTGTACTTCAGAATATTTCTGTCTGTGTTTGACACGATTCTCTCATATAGTTAAGCAAGATGACACACTAGTTGTACATCCTAACAATTAAGACACCCATGTGTATATCTCAGTTTATGTGTAAGTAATAGTAGGGATTCAAACTGAACTCTTAGACATGAATTTATGTAATTTTACAAATAACAATAAGCTAGTAAGTTCATGGTTCAAAAGTAGCTCATACTGTTCACAGTCTTCATGAAACGAATAAAATTTCACCAGTAATTACATAAATAACTCCGCTTGTAGCTCCTCTGGGGGTTACTGCCGGTCCCAAGCCCGGGTAAAGGAGGAGGGTTGGGCATGGGGTTAGCGACCCCATCCCGTAGAAAATCAACTCGCTAAAAAAACGCTAACCAGAAAAAATCATTCAAAACTTTCAAACTCTGTCCTGGGAGTAGAAGGAATAATTATGACGTCTCATGATGAAAGCCGAGTTCCTTCGGAAGTCATGAAGCCGATGCACCTTCTTACAAACAGAGCAACAATTTTTATAGGTACATGGAATGTCCGGACAATGTGGGAGACCGGAAGAGTCTTCCAAATTGCTTCAGAAATGAGAAAATACAACCTGGAGGTGCTTGGAATCAGTGAAACACATTGGACGCAGGTTGGACAACAACGACTGCCTTCAGGAGAACTTCTGTTATACTCCGGTCATGAAGAAGGAAATGCCCCACATACACAAGGAGTTGCATTGATGCTGTCCAGAAAAGCACAAAATGCACTTATTGGATGGGAATCTCATGGACCAACGATCATCAAAGCCTCCTTCAGAACAAAGAGAGAGAGCATTACAATGAACGTCATCCAATGCTATGCGCCTACCAACGACTACGATGAAGACGCTAAAGACCAATTCTACGATAGGCTGCAGTCAATCGTCGAGAAGTGCCCAACCAAGGACCTGACAATTCTGATGGGAGATCTCAATGATAAGGTTGGAATGGACAACACTGGATACGAAGACGTCATGGGACAACATGGACTGGGAGGAAGGAACGAAAATCGTGAGAGATTTGCAAACCTATGTGCCTTCAATAAACTGGTCATAGGTGGCACCATATTCTCACACAAAAACATAAACAAAGCCACTTGGATTTCACCGGATCACACTACACAGAATCAAATCGACCATATCTGCATCAACAAAAAGTTCAGGAGGACGATGGAGGATGTGAGAACCAGAAGAGGAGCTGATATAGCATACGATCATCATTTGCTGGTCGCCAAGATGAAACTAAAACTGAAGAAGCACTGGACAACGGCGCGGACAACATCACAAAAGTTTAACACGGCCTTTCTTCGAGATGCTGACAAACTCAACAAATTCAACATAGCCCTCAGCAACAGGTTCCAGGCCTTTCATGACCTACTCAATGGAGAGGGAACTACCATGGAGAGCAACTGGAAAAGTATCAAGGAGGCAATCGTTTCAACATGTCAGGAGGTTCTGGGCCAAAAGAAGCACCATCACAAGGAATGGATCACTGTTGGTACACTGGATAAGATTGAAGCAAGGAGGAACAAGAAGGCAGCAATCAATATCAGCCGAACCAGAGCGGAAAAAGCCAAGGCACAAGCCGAATACACAGAGGCAAACAAGCAAGTGAAGAGGAGCATCAGAACCGACAAACGTAAATATGTGGAAGATTTAGCAACGACAGCGGAAAAGGCTGCAAGAGAGGGAAACATGAGACAACTGTATGATACAACAAAGAAACTTGCTGGAAATTACCGTAAGCCAGAAAGACCAGTGAAAAGCAAGGAAGGCAAAGTAATCACCGACATTGAAGAACAACGAAACAGGTGGGTAGAGCATTTCAAAGAACTCTTGAATCGACCAGCCCCACTGAACCCACCCAACGTCGAAGCAGCACCCACAGACCTCCCAATCGATATTGGCCCACCAACAATTGAAGAGATCAGCATGGCCATTAGACAAGTCAAGAGTGGCAAAGCAGCGGGACCAGACAACATCCCGGCAGAAGCACTGCCAAATCGTCCACGGAGGACAACTCACCGACTCGTTTGAAGTAAAGACTGGTGTAAGGCAAGGT